CTTGTGAAGGGCCATAAACCTAGGTCCTTCTCTGGCTTGGGAGGCAGAGAACCACAGTTCAGATTCATCATTTCTACCAGGCAACTGTATAGCTATATGGAGTCCATAAATGACTGAAAACCAACAGGGACATCAGGCTTTTCACCCTCATTCTCCAGAGGAGGAAGGTGAAGTTCAGACTGATAAAGGCACAATCCACGGGTACCTGATCAGTGAGAATGCATCACCCTCACATGGCCTTGACCCTGTTCCATGGCTCTCCTTCTGTAAATGCTAAAGCCTAGGTTTCCTCACCTGCAAAACTGAGTTGGACCCAGGAGTCTCAGAAAGCTCAGCCACAGTCCATTTCTATGAACTCACAGGCCCCCAGGCGCCATGGTGGGGGACGGGGCGGGGGGTGGTAGCGGGGGGAAAGCCATCACTCAAGAGGCTGTTTATCATCTTGTTGTACCCCCGCTTGAGCTCTTGGAGCAAAACATTCCCAGAAGCAGGGTGATTCATTCACAGCACTGTTTGCCAGTTCCAGAGAAAAGGCAGACCATGAAACACATTCTGTGACTTTTAAAGCGGAGACAAAGAAATTTCAAGATGAAGTTTCCCTTTAGTGGACAGGGGCTGAGGGAGCTGGGACATACATATTTTTCCTTCCAGAAAACCAAGCGTTTCGGGTTGAACATTCTGCATCAGACACTAAACAAACTATCATGGTTTGAGCCGAATTCTCCCAAGCAGAAAACACCAAAAGACAACACTGTTTTTTAAACAATTTGATGGGCTGACCCTGACAACCACCACTTTGAATGTTGACTGACAGGTTGTGAGTTAAAACCAAATTAGATTGGCTGTATTTTTGTTTTTGATGCTGATCCATGTCAGAACTCCTACTATCAAGGGGAGGGTGAGAAACTCATGCTTGAGCCTCTTAAATTAAGCAAAGGGAAGCTTGCTGATTGCGTTGGATGTTTGGACATCCTACAACCTAAGAAGGCATGGAGAGAGGTAACAGGTGAGAGTCTGTGGAGTCTTGCGGGTAACATGATTTAATTACAGGGGAAGTGAATGGTAAACTTCCATGATTCCCAGAAAACTAACCCAAAACGACTCTAGTAGTACAAAGACAGATGAAAAGCTGTCTCTCATTTTGAATTCACAGGATATCTATGCCTCCAGTTTGGGCTTCCTGTAAAATGAAGGTTATACTCAACTCTTTAAAAATTGTACTTTTAGCTCCCAATCCCCAGCCTGGCAGAAGTGAGAGTAAGCTCGACCTCTTTGCCCAAGTGAGGATGTGCGATATAATAAGAAAGCTCCAGAGATCTGAGTTCTAGTTTGATTCTGATTCTAAAAAGCTAAATGACATTGAGCATGTCTCCAGTCCTTTCTGGGACTCAGTTTCTCCATCTATAAAAAATCTTAGAGAAGAAAATGGATTGAGGAAGAAGAGGAACCCTTGAGATTTTGGAGTCATACCCCATGGGTTCTAATTTCATTTTTCTAGCTGTATGCTGGGGCAAGTTGCTTAACCTTTTTGAGTTTTCTCATCTGTAAAAGAGAGACCATAATACCTACCTCATGAGATTTGCTGTTTAGTTAAAATGACATAGTGTGTACAAAGCACATAGCTTAGTGCTTGGCCCACAAGAATAATTTTTTTAAAGATGTAATTTACACATAATGAAATGCTCAGATCTTAAACATTCGATTTTGATGACTGCATATAAAGATACAGAACATTTCGATTACCCCAGAAAGTTTCCCGTACCCCTTCCTTCCTAGTTGATCCTCCCATGAATAACCCCTGAAATGATTTCTATCACCCTGGGTTAGTTTTGTCTGTTTTAGGATTCCACATGAATAGAACCAGACAGTATACATTGTATTTGTGTGTTTGGGGGTATGTTTGGCTTCTTTTCCTCATCAGAATAGTTTTGGGATTCACTCATATTATTGGTGTAGAAGATCATTGCTTTACTGTGTATGATATTTCTTTATATGAATACAGTAGTTTTTCCATTCTACTGTTGATCAGCATCTGAGCTATTTCCAGGTTTTTTGCCTATTATGATGGAAGCTGCTATGAACATCCTAGCTAAAATTTAGCACAAGACTTTCATGGATATTTCCGTTTCTCTTGGATAAATACCTAGGAGTGGAATGCTGGGTCATAGGGTATGTTAAATTTTGTAAAGAAACTCCCAAATGGTCTTCTAAAGTGGTTGTACCATAATACACTTCCACCAGCAAACTTTGAGAGTTCCAGTCAGTCCATACACTCCCCAAAAGTTGCTGTGGTCAGTCTTTTTGACTTCTGTCATTCTGGTTTTAATTTGCATTTCTCTGATGACTAGCGAACTCTTTTCATGAGCTTATTTAGATTTTTTTAAAGGCAGTTCCTCTCTCTCCTCTTTGCTGCCATGTAGCTTTCAACCTCTACGATTTGAAGGACTGTTGAATAAATGAGAAAGAGAAAAACTGATGGAAAAATCTGATGAGCTCTGCAAATACAAAAGCCAACATGAACTCAGCCTTGGAACCCTTCCCTTAACTTTGGTTTGCCAGGACTGGGGGGCTAAGGATGTGCTTGTCTTCTGAGAACGCCACGATCATGGCTGACTTGATCAGAGTGTTTTCACAATAAATTTGTCCCAGATTGAATAATTGTTTTCTCTGCTACCATTTATAAACTACCTACTATGCTCCGGGCACCTTACATACAGTATGTGTGATTTTACAATAGCCCTGCAAGGTTGGTGTATGATCTCCATTTGGTGGACTCTGAAAATCAGAGACATGAATTCCTTTGCCTAACACCACACAGCTACATCTTCACAAGATCCACATTCAAAATGTGACTGTCTGGCTCCAAAATCTCATTCACCAAGTTGCCTTCAAACACACGCACACACACGCACACGCACACGCACACGCACACACACACACAAATATTACTCATCCATAAAAAAAGGAATGAAGTGCTGATATGATACGTGGTACAATGTGGATGAACCTCAGAAACATCAGGCAAAGTGACAGAAACCAGATGTAAGGTCACATATTGTGAGTCCATTTATGCAAAGTATCCACAGACATAAACCTAGACAGACAGAAGACTGGTGGTTGCCAGGAGCTAGAGGGAGAGGGGAATGGGGAGAAACTGCTTAACGGTGCAGTTTTCTTTTGGGGTAACAAAAATGATTTGAAATTAGATGGGGATGGTGGTTATATGACATCGTGAATGAACTAAATGTCACTGAATTGTACACTTTAAAAGTTAATTTGATGTTATGTGAATTTCTCCTCAGTATGATTAAAAACTCCACCCTAGAGTCTCTTCCTCATCGATGAGCACAATTTTACCATTAGCGATTTAGTCCTCTGGGTGGTGAAGCCTCCAGCACCTAGGCCCAACCTTTTCTCTCCCAGACAACCCCTCTTGAGAATTCCAGGGCAGAACGTGAGGAAATGATAGCATGACTCAGAGACTGGGCACTGGAGTCAGGCTGCCTGAGTTCAATTCCAGGTGCCTCCATGTCCTCATCTGTAAAACGGGATGACAGTGTTACGAGTCTCATGGGGTTGCGGTGAGGATGGAATGGAATCGTGCGAGTGAAGTGTTTGGGCACATGTTGTGCTCATTCACTAAGCTGTGCTGTTGGTGCAGGCCGCCTTCTCCTAACACCTGGAAGCCAAGAGACCCAAATGCTACAAACTCTGTCCACAGTAAGTTTGGGATGGGAGCGCTAGGTGGAGCGGAGGATGACCACCCTTGCTTGCCCAGGCCTGTTCTCTGGCAAACAGCCTCTATGGGAGACAATCAAGGTAGTCAGACCTCTCTAAAATGGAGATAATACACGCTCATCCCTTAAGTTCCTCCTCAGTCATGACAGTTGGGAAAGTGTTTGGCAAACTAAAAACCAGCTGGGCAAATCAGAGGGACTGTAGGTCGAGACTTCTCCTTGGCAGCTGACTCAGTGCACGTGGCTGGACCTGTGTGACCCATCCCATGCCATGTGAGGCCTTTGACTTGGTTTTTTCAAGCCACTTTGAGGACAAGCCACTTCTTCCTCAGGCAACAGGAACTGGGGAAGGCGCGGGGCCTGGTCCCAGTGGAAACTCTAACACACGCACGGACATTCTCAAGTATTTCCAGTGACTAAGGGCCACAAGAAGCAGCTGGCTGGACCCTTCCTGAAAAAAGCTTGTCTCAGAATGGCTGGAGAGCTGCTGACCAGAGCCGCCCCACAGTTCTGGCCATCCTCAGTCATAATGCCCCACTTCTCTGGGGGTGAGCCTTTCCTTCACCCCCAGGGCAGGGACCAGGCACCTATATCCCTCAGCAGCAGACAACACAGAAGCTTTGTATGCAGAGCAGTTTATTGCCACCTTTCCTCGCTGGTCAGGGGATGAAAGAATGGGGGTGAGGAGGAGGGAGATGGGGGACGTGGGATATTTGTGGGATGCTGCAGAGATGAAAGCCAAAAGGCTCACTTTCAATGTGCTACGATGGGTTGAAAAGCAGTTGGTCTGAGGGTGACAAGCCCCCCATTTCAAAGGCTCAGAAAGTTGGACCCAAGAAACACGCACTCATTCAACCAAATCCCTTCCAACTGCCAAAGGAAAACCAGGCATTGCTGGGGCCCAGGTCTTCCACTGGCTCTCACACCAGGCACCTTTCAGACCCGGCTATTTCACTTATGGGACCATAAACATCGCAGTGGCCATACCATCTTGACCTAAACAAACAGGTGAGGCCTGGCCTGGCTTAGCTTCATCTGTACAAGCAGAGACAAAGGTGACTGATCAGCAGAAGATCTGCAGTGCACAAATAATGGGAGAGGGCAGTGCTTGTCAGCATTCGATAATGACTAAAATGTAGTGTAAATCCGTAAGGGGAGTGACTAAAGGCTGGACTCTATGATTAAGTCAGAAAACAACTCTGTGAGCTGACCCGATTTCTGAACAGACTTCTAAGACAGTCTGCTCATAGGGCGTTTCAGTCCCCTTGGCTCGTAACTATTATGGAAGCAGAAGGAAGAGGGAGTGGTGGTCTGCCCAGCTGGGGACTGGGATTGTCATGATCGTCCAGTTCTCTATGATGAGAAGGAATCTCAGCCACCTCAGACCCTGGGCCTGTGAGACAGAGCAGGAGGACAGGATGCTGCCCTTGCCCCTTCTGCCCAGCTCCACAGGCCTTATCTTCTACCGCTTCTTCTTGGTCTCCTTCTTGGGCCTCTTGTTCACGGAAGGAGCAGCAGCCTTGGGCTTCCTCATCACCTCCCCACTTCTGGGCTCAGATGGCTCTGCCTCCTGTGTGGGGATAAAATGAAGACTCTTGTTTAGACGACTCAAGCTTGACACCAGGAAAATCAGATCGTGTCTGAAGGGACTTTGCAAACTGAATGAAGCATGCCACAGAAACACAAGGGATGGACGCCATCATGGCTGGGACCCAGGATGAACATGTAGGCGGGACGACCCCTGGGAGCAGGGCAGTTCTCAGTGAACAATAAGGGAGGCCCCAAGGGGGAGGAGGCAGCTTTTGGAGTCTCACAGGCCTGGGTGGAATCTAGGTTCCTACGTGTTCCAGCCAAGAAACCCTGTGGACAAGTCACTTCCCCTTTCTGCGCCTTGGTTTAACCCTTTGTGAAATGGAAATAGCGATGCGCACCGTGGAGGGTCGCTGTGAGGAGGCAAGGATGCTCGGAAAGCACCCAGGAAATGCGTGGCTGCACACCGTGTCTGGCTGGCCACCTGGGTGGAGTCTGGTCAGAATCTGGGTGAGGGGCATCCATTGCGGCTTGCTCTCTTGGCCCTGCTGTTCTCCCATTCAACACACAGAATGCCAGGGCAGGGAGGAGTGGAGAGAGCCGGCTGGCAGGTGGGGAGCCACTGCACTGTTCTGTGGGGACTGGTGGAGGTGCCCTGTGGGGGATGGCAGAACTCCAGACTCTCCCTAGGACTGGAGTTCTGGTTTTCAGCTGTCGTATACATTGTGATTTCTTCCCTGTAAGATTTGGTTTAAACGAAGGTTCTGCTGCTGCTTACAAAAGGTTCAAACTCTCAGATCCAGCCCTGGCCTTCGCTGTGCTGATAAAGAAAGTGGACTCTGGGGAAGGGCCCACCCAGCCACTCAGGCTCATGCCAGAAGAATCTAGAGAAGACTCAGCCCTGTTGAAGTCCCCTCCTCCCCTGGGTGATAAATTACAGTGTGCCACAGCCAGGCAGGATGTTAGTGCGGGCCATCTAACTCAGAGAACGCTAACTACAGCTCTCTGGCCTTGTCCAGGCCACAGGAGAACTTCACTTGGGCTGCAGAGTTTATTTTTAAGAATTTGAGCCAATTGGGAGATTTCCCATTCAATCTGGATTCCTAGCTTTCCTGAAAACTTTAAACATTCAGTGACACTAGCGCTGAATCCCCTCATGAAGGAAATGCAGTGAGCAGCAGCTCCTCTTTAGTCAAGTGCCCACACCCCCCATAGCCCTGGTGCCCTGGACACTATGGTAAGAAAATGTTTCTTAGAACCTGTGTTCTTTTATTAAAAATGAGACAACAAAAAGCAGATGAAGAATATTAGGAGAAAACACACTTTTGCTGGAAGAGAAAAATATTTCTTCCTGTTTAAGTGGCCAACTCCTCGCTTCCAGCTTGCTTTAAGTTTAAGCTCTATTTTTCCCGGCTCACCCATCAGCCCCTGGTCCAAGCCTCCACCCTACAGAAGAGGCAGAACGTCAGCTGGGGAGGGGTGGTCCCCACCCGAAAGCCCAGTCCAGAGGTCTTTCAGCAACCTCTTATTGGCCAGCATTGTCTCCTCTCCACCCTGAGACACCAGATGTAAAGGCCCAGCCCAGTCCCAGGCACCATGGGTGATCTTCCCAAGATAATGAGGGAGTCGGCCCCTCCTCCGGCCAGGTCTCTGACTGCAGCTCTGGACTCTCCCAGCCTGTCCCTCGTGCTGACACTGTTTATGTAACTTGGCAAAAAAGAAAGGAAAAAAAAAAAGTTAGCCCATTAGAAAAGCAAACAAAACAAAACCTCAGAGGAACCAGTGTGTCAAGTGCACAGGCTGCAGGCTGCAGAGCTCAGTGGGAAGGCTACTGTTAAAGGCAAACCCCGCAGGGCACAATGCCCTTGGAGACCTTGGGAACTGGACTGGAAACCAGTGGGTCCCTGAGCACCCTGGGCAAACTGGCCCCGATTAGATGAATGGTTTATGCACAGGGAGCTTGTGCAGGCCTGCCAGGATCCCCAGGGATGGAGTTCCACTCTGAGCTCCACGCTGGGTGCCTCCTCCAGTTTCCATGGGGCCCGGTTCAGAATCCACAGAGATGGTGACCCAGCAGCCATCCCCTTTGCTGCCCTCACTCCACAGATCCTCTCTCAAGTGCCTCATCCTTTCTGGCACCTCCCAGACCTCTCCCCGGATCCAGCTGTCTGTCAGACAACTGAGACTCGAGTCTCCCAGCCACCTCCAACTCAGCTGTCCCAGACCAAGCATGGTCCCTTCGCTAGCAGGCCGAGCCCTCCTTCCCATCCGTAGGCAGAGCAACCAGAGTCCCAGTGACCCCACCTTCTCTCTCCTCCCCACTTTCCAGTCACCAAGTTCGGCTGATTCGAACTCTTCTACCTCTGGACTGAGCCACTCTCTTTAGCGTCAAAGTCCCTGCTTCAGTTCCCCCAGGGCTGACTGATCTTCCTGCTCTATGCCATTCCTGTGTACCTGCCAAAGAGATTTTTCTAAAGTGCAGATCCCCCCACCTTAATCTTCCAGTGGCTTTCCATCTCCCACGGCCTCTTGTCCCACACCTGGGATGGCATCTAAAGAGGCCGCCTCTCCAGCCTCGTCTGTGCTCTTCTCCACCCCCACACTGGCCACAGGGCTCCCACTGGTCACGCCTAACGAGAGGAGCACCCTCCTTTCCTTGGCCTTCCAGTCAACCCCTCCCCATGGTTATGCCCAGCCCCAAAACACACTCCAGTCACTATCCAGCCTTCTTTCTCTGCTCCCCTACCTCCAACAGGGTACACCCCCTCCTCCACCCCTACCCCGTCGGGTCCCCAGGAACCTTATAACACTATTATTCTACCACAGTTACATGTTCTCATGTTGGTCTCCCCTACTGGCCTGTGAGCTCCTTGGGACAGCTTCAATTGTTGCTGAGTAAATGAATGAATGAACGAACGAATGAATGAAATGAAAGAACAAGCAAGATCTCCCATAATCACGGGAACTTCACTCTTGTTCATTTTCATGAAAATATAACTTAAGACTAAATCTCACTTTTTCCACGAGCACAGAGGACACAAGCAGATTTTAAACCCAATATATATACCCTAAAATATGGCTAGACATAGCAACCAATAATAATGACAACAAGAGCAGCCACAGTAGCTGCTAATATTTACGATATGCCAGGCCCTGTGTCATGTGGTCTGGACATACCTTATTTTAACCTCATGAAGTGCCCTAATGTTCCATTTTATAGATGGAAGAAGAGACTCTCAGAGAAGTTATGTGACTTGCCTAAAGTCTCAGCTGGTGAGTGGCAGAGCCAGGATTTGAAACCAAGCTTTTAATGGGTATACAGTACGGCCTCTCCCAGGTCTCCAAGGGACGTGAAGGTTAATGGTGATGGAGAATCTGAGTAAACAGTGGCATGTACTTTCTCTCTGTGCAGCCACCCTTGGAACCACAGGTAACCATGGAATGATCTTCTAGATCGTTCTAAATTCTGTCAATAAGTCATTCAGAAGCCTCTTGTTTGAGAGTAAAGCTCCTACCGGATCAGGACAGTGGTTCAGTGCTCCTCAAGTCACGCTTTATTTTTCACAGTGGAAAGCAGCTCTCTGTGGGTGTGTGTTCACATTACGGTCACCGAGTCATCTGAATGTATTCTGTCTCCTCCTCACCCAGACCTCCTCCTCTCTTCCCCATCTCAGTTTTTGACATCATCACCTACCCAGCTACCCAAGCTAGAAAGCTCCGAGTCATTTACAAGTTCCTGCCATTCCCTCGTGCCCCACATCCAATCTGTCCCCAGGTCCTGTCCACTCTACTTTTCTAATGGGCTCTTGACTCCACCCAGTCCCCTCTGGACACACACTGCACCAGCTCAGACCCCGCGGTCTCCTGCCTGCCTCTTTCACTGTATTGGTCTCCTATAATTTTTCCTCACCACCTGCCATGCTGCTTTCAGAGTCTGTTTTCCTAAAACAATCGTTTGAGGAGACCAGCTCTGTTTTCTGCTTTGAAACTGTTGCTGGTTCCCTCTTCATATAGGACGAATTCCAAAAGCCTCAGCACGGCCTCCAGGGCCATTCCGCTCCAGCCTTGGCCCTGTCTCTGGGCACGCTCCCTCATGCAGCCTACTCTGTCACTCTGGGCTACTGGTCAAGTCAGCATTTCCTGGGTACTCTGCTCCCTTTCATGTCCAGGTGCTCAGCATTCATCACCTATCTATCTGTGCCCAGTGTATGCAGGTTCTGTGTCAGGCACAAGTGGGTAATGACGAAGAGAATGTACACTTAGTGATGTGCACCATGTAGGTGCTTCACAAACATCAGCTCACTGAGCCTCTCATCACCCTGGCAAGCCAGCCACTGTGAGCCCCATTTTATAGGCAAGGAAACTAAGGTTCACCAAGACTCAGTGACTAGCTTGATAGGGCACAGTCATCTTCCCCCAACCTGCGGGGAAGCAGAGGCAGCTGTCATAAAGGATCTGGATCCTGGGGTCCTAACCACACAGAGCTGGAGCTCCAAATTCTTGGATAGCAAGAATGACTCTGAATGAACAGCTGACTTTTAATTTCTCTCAAATGCACATTGCTTGTCCAAGCCAGGCAGATGGCAGGCTCCGAACGCTACAGCCCCATTCTTAAATCTGGGAACACCTCGCCTCCTCTGAAGCACGTTTTAAGTTTCCTCAGCAATCACATTGTCAGGAGTAAAAGAAGACTTCGCCTGCAAGGAGGTTCCTGAGTCTGCAGAGACGTCATCTGTGGACAGAGGCCTCATCAATAATGAAGCAGCTCCACAACCGCTTACAGACCAGAAAATTGCTACTATTCATCAGATACAAATAATCGAATCTGTGCCACAATGCATCAAATCTCTTCCATCAGGGAAAGCACACAGAATTTTATGATCGCCACTATACAGCTGAATGTGGATTCAGTCCTATACATCAGGACAAAACGTCATTCTACAACAGACCGAAGCCATTCTTTCCTCTTAAATGGTCCAGGGAAAGAAAAGCGCTGTGCTTGGCTCAGGTAGCCCCACACACCTTATCTCACTTGATCCT